TTTCTTTCTTTCTTTCTTTCTTTCTTTCTTTCTTTCTTTCTTTCTTTCTTTCTTTTCTAATCAACTTTCTTTTTACTCTGTGATTTTACAACAATCCTCTCTGATATAGGAGAGGATAGTGGGGATATGTGGGCCTTGATGGTGCATCTGGGAGGAATTTCCTCAGGAGGAAAGCCTCCTCCAGGAGGAAGCTAACCAATTCCCCTGGGAGAATTTTCACTAGAATATTGTCTAGCATCCTGTATTTGTGAGTTTACTTTTTTGTATTTGTGAATTTACTTTTTTTTTAAAATCAGAATCTGGAACTTTATATTCATTCAGATTAAATTGAATCTTATTAGAATCACCATATTGTTAGAGCTTGTCAAGATCTTTTTGTATCCTGACTTGATCATTCAGCGTATTATCTTGTTGTCATCTAAAAATTGGACAAATGTGCCATCTATACCTTTATCCAAGTTACTGATAGAAAAGTCAAACAGCCCTGGGCCAAGGAAGGATTCCTGCAACACTTCCCTGGATACTTCAAGCTGACATTGACCCACTGATGATTCCTTGTTGAGTCCTGTCACCCAACATTTACTACAATTTAACCCAGAACATGACATCTTGTCCATTGGGACACCCTAAGAGTTTTTATCAAATGCTCTGCTGAAATCTAAGTACGCTCAACTGTGAAAATTTCCCTCATTTACAATCCAATAACCTGATCCCCAAAAAGGAGAAATTAGCTTAGTCTAATGTGGCCTGTTCTTGATTAAATCTATGGGGTTTTAGTGACCACTATTTCCTCTTTCATTTTAAAAATTTTATTTTTATTCTGAACAAAAATGCCAAATAAAATGGGCATTTCCAAGTACAAAGCAGAGCAGGAAAAAAGATGATTGTACATGAAAACTATAGATGTCTCTTATATACAACTTGCTTTTCTTTTTAAATATCTAAGTTCACTCTAATTTTCAAAGCTATCCTTCTTATCTGTGCTCCTCTCTGGCATTTCTTTTGTTCTCTTCTCTGTGTATGTGTGTGTGTGTGTGTTTATTTTTTTTAAAGATGCCTCATCAACCTTTTTTATTCCTTTTTTCTATCCCTTGCACCTTTTTTTTTTTGCTACCCTTATCACTCCTCACCCTCCCACCCCATCCCACTGCATCCCACCCTCACTAGAAAAAGAAAAACAAAGTTTTCATAACAATATGAATAGTCAGGCAAAACAAACCCCCAAACTGGCCCATCTGAAAATGTATATCATATTCTGTATCTTTCTTTAATTTTATTTTTTCTCAATTACATGTAAAAACAATTTTTAACATTTGTCTTTTAAAATTTTAAGTTCCAAATTCTCTCCCTCCCTCTTCTCTCCCCTCCTTGAGAAGGCAAGCAATTTGCTATAGATAATATATGTACAATTATGCAAAACATATTTCCACATTAGCTATGTTGCAAAAGAAAACAGACCAAAAAAAAGAAAGAAAAATGAAGAATGTTTTTAAAGAGTATGCTTTGATCTGCATTCAAACTCCATCAGTTCTTTTCCTCCCCTCTGGAGGTGGACAACACCCTTCACCATAAGTACTTCAGAACTGTCTTAGATCATTGTATTGCTGAGAATAGCTAAGTTATTCACAGCTGATCATCATACAGTATTGCTATCACTGTGTACAATGTTCTCTTGGTTCTGCTCACTTCACTTTGCATTATCTCATATGAGTCTCCCCAGCTTTTTTTCTGAAAACATCCTGCTCATCATTTCTTATAGTTCAACAGTACTTCATCACAATCATAAACCACAACTTGTTCTCATATTCTGTGTCTTGAGTCTATCATCTCTTGGTCCATCATCTCTGGAATAATAGCTGGTCATTGCAATAATCAGAGTTCTCAAGTCTTTGAAGTTGTTTGTCTTTATAATATTGATATTATACAAATTCTTCTGATTCAGCTCACTTCACTCTGCATCTGTTGACACAAATTTTCCCAGGTTTCTCTAAAACTGTCCATTTGATCATTTCCTAAATCACAATAATATTCTATTGCATTCACATAACAATATTTTTTTAACCATTCCCCAAATGATAATCACTCCCTTAGTTTCCAGCTCTTTGATAGTACTAAACAAGCCGCTATAAATGTTTTTGTACATAGGGGGCCTTTTCCTCTTTTGCTTCCCTGTTCTAAATGCTCACGAATGTCCTGAATTATATGTTCTCAAATTTTGCCAGGAATAAAAGACAAACTCATTGCTTATAGATCGAGACATCATGGGATTGTGGATTGGACTTGGAGTCAGGAAGATCTGAGTTCAAATCCACTATGGATATTTTCTAGCTCTATGACCTGGAAGGTGTTTCAATTTCTCTCTGCTTCAGATTTCTTATTTGGGAAATGAGAGAGTTGGATTTCAAGGCTTTGAGGTCTCATCCAGCTCTAGGTCTGTGATCTGATAACTCCATACATAAGTTATCCAAAGTTACATGACAAGTTAAGTGGCAGAAGCAGGACTTGAACTCAGGTCATCTGATTCCAAGTCAAATCAATATCTCCCATGTGCAAAGCACTAGGCTAGGTACCCAAAAAGTTATAAAATTTAGCCAAGATATGGTGCCTGCTTTCTAGGAGTTTACAGCCTAAGGGAAGGGGGAAGAAGAAGAGGAGGAGGAAGAAGAGAAGGGGAGGGGGTGAAGAAGAAAAGGAAAAAGGAGGGGGAGGGGGGATATGTGACATTTATATAGCACTTGAAGGTTTACAAAGCATTTTACCTGTATTATTTCATTTCATATGACAATCCTGAAAGGTAGGTACTACAATGCAATATGGAACCTAAGCTCCTTGAGGACAGGGACCATTTTCTTTTTATCTTTGTATTCCCAATGCTCAAGACAGAGCCTGAGCAACAGTACATTATTAATAAACACTTATTGAATGAATGAACCATGATTTTTACAAACAAGACACTGAGATTTAGAGAGGTCTAGTAACTTTTTCAAGGTTCCATGGCCACACACAATAATGCTCATTAATTGCATTATAGAGTGACCAAAAAAAAAAAAGAAGAGCTATGGGGGTGGGGAGGTCATTACCAAAAAGAGGGTTAAAGAAAGGTTTCCTGAAT